ACTTTTAAACGTGAGCTTATTTAATTGTTATTGACAAGACATGAACATGAAAGAGTGTCGTGGCATGTAAAGAGAGACTTCCCATGAATCATATATAAGCCACCACAATTTTTCAATACGCTCTCTACAACCCAAAATCCATTTGAATCAAAACAAAATGTTCCCAAACTTAAGTCACTTGGTGAGGTAAAACTGATACAACAATATCGTTTTGTACCACAACCATCCTTTTTATTTTTATTTTTTAATTTAGAGAGTTTTTATTTTAATTGTGGTTACATTTTTCCAACCATCACCTACTTAATGTATCTTCACATGCGAAAATGGCCAAAAGAATCTTTATGAATACAATTCATTCTTACCTTACACCCACCTACTACAACTTTATATGTAGATGGAAAACTCTTACCTAACACTCACATATCACATGTTTATAAATACAAACAATTCTTACCTAAAATCTACCTAGCACAAACTCTTTATGAATACAAACAACTCTTAGGTTCCGTTTAGTTGCAGAAAAATGGACCGTTTTCTGAAAAAAAATTCCAAAAAAAATGAGTATTTTGAAAACGTGTTTAGTTTGTCTATTTTTCTAAATTCTTCACAGAAAATGAAAATTTTCCATCTTTTAAAATTACAAAGAAATTAGAAAATTTTGGGAAATTGATAATCATTGTTTTCCATACTTTTCTAGTTCCAAAAATTTTCTAATATATATATATACACCCCCACTCCCACCCCATCCATTTCTACCTACCCCCACCTTAACACCTCCAACCCACCATACCCCTACCTACCCATACCCACCCACTCCTAAGCCCACCCCCACCCACCCACCCATCCATACACACACACCCCCACAAACACCTAACCTTACTCCTAACCTAAGCCCCACCCCTACTCTTACCCCCACAAACACACATACAAAAAAACCCACACTTACACCCCACCCCCACAAACATACATACACCCACAAAATACACAGACACACCCATACACCCAACACCACTACCACAATCACCAACCTACCATCACCATCACCACCCCACTACGCCACCACTGCCACAATTTTCACCACCACCCTGTCATCACCATCACTGCCAGTGAACCACTGCCGCCGCCGTCCCACCCCCACCGTACCACCGCTACCGTTTTCTAAAAATGAAAACCGATAGAAAAATACACATCTAAACGTGTTTTCTAATTTACTAAATCTAAAAATGGAAAATGAATATGTTTTAACTAAACACGTTTTCTAAATTTTCCAATGAAAACTGAAAACGGAAAACAAAAACTGAAAAGGAAAAACGCAAAACGGAAAATGAAAATTGTTTTCCGTAACTAAACGCAACCTTACCAATCACCCACCTACCACGACTCTTTATGAATATAAACAACTCTTACCTAAAACTCATTTACCATACTTCTTTATGAATATAAAAAAAACTCTTACCTAACATCCACCTATCACAATTCTTTATAAAAAAACATCTACCTCTTACCTAACACCTTATCAAACCACTATATAAAGAGGTGAAGACCATAACATTCTTCACAACAAAGCTAATTAATCCTATTGCTTAGCTTTATTCCAAAAATGTTTTCCAGCTAGTCTACAATTGCCCATAAATTTAAATGCCTTTCAACCTTTACTGATCAGCGACCCTTTTCCACGCAACATGTGATTAATAAAGATATTTCGGCTAAAAAAGCAAAGGTTGACAAAGTTGAGTGAGTCTGATACCCGAATCTGAAGAAAGATAGTATATGATAGAAGAAATTGATGCCAAGAATTTTTGTTTAACCTAAACAAAAAAAAAAATCAAATTAAATTGTGGATCAGAGACTTTGAGTATAATGATGAGCGTCAATATGAAGATTTATTGAGTGTTTTGATTTGTGAAAGAAATGAGTAAAAGACAAACATGGGGAAAAAAATTCTCACACAATTTTCTAGAATGGTCGTTCAAAGAAACTGATTGGTGTTATTTCTTTATGTACTAATCAAATGTAAAGCTCCTTTCCATTAATGGAATCTAAGTATGCTTTTACATTTAATTAAGTGTTGGAATCTTCACATATTTTCCTATTAAAAAAACCCGATAGTCGACCCAAAATCCGACTAAAATATAGCTCCTTTGAGGCCCAGATTCAAATTGGCATATTTAAATCTTGATGGGTCCATTGATGCCCGCCTACCGCCTAAGTAGCACTTCGGGCGCACGAAAACCCTACCTCCTTGTACAACTCTATTCATCCATGAACCCGGAAAAAATAAAGAAAATTTATGGTTTACAATAAGAAATAAACACATATCCTGGTGCAGATGATTCGTGAAGATATAAACCTTCTTTATTAAAATGATAATTTAAAAAAAAAAAAAAAAGATGACTAGTTTCATTAGCGACCATGGTGAGGATAAACTAAAACAAAGAATAATCAAAGCACAAGATCACCTATTTTATATACCATTAACTTTTATTTAAGGTTTCACATATTTTAGATTAAGGTCTCATCATCTTGGTTTTCATTTTGAAGTATAGATAGATTATGTTGGTTATGAGAGTGTGAAAGAAGATAAGCCGAAGCCGGTTATGAAGACGACAAAAACAAAATGAGAGCCATATTGCTTCGGTTAGTCTGTGGTTGGTTTTAACATTTTAGAACTATAATTAGGAGAATTTATATGAAAGATCTATATGCTCAAGAATCGTTATAGAATGATATTCGCTAATAACATATGATTCTATAGGGTCATACCTTATAGCAAGTTACTACTTATTAATTATTTATTAGAGTAATTTGATTATTAATAAGTATAATCAACACTTGAATTAATGGGAAAATTATTGTTTTGTGAAAATAATATTTTACCAACATATTAAGAATTATTGTTTCTAGGTAATAATAATAAAAGAGAAAAAATAATTAGTTACATTCATATAGTATGCATATATTAAGTCATGTATAATGTATAATTATTTGGTCATTTTGAGTAATCATCTTGTTACTACTTGTAACTAAGTAGTTAGGAGTTTGAGTAAAGATCACCCCAAATTCCCTTCTTGCTTGCCAAAACTATAGATCCCTTTTGAGGGGTGGGATTGTGACTTGGTTAGACTTGTGTTGCTCCCATGTTTTCCTTACATGTCCTTATTTGTACACTTAATGGGGTATTTTCCTTCACATGTGTGGCTAAGTATAAAAGGAAAAGTAAGAGTGAAAAGCTAGCTAGTTTTTCATCTTTTTTTCTCCCCTTTTGGACTGCCAAAAATATAGGTTTCATGTCCTCTCTCTCTCTCACACACACACATACATACTCTCTCTCTCTCTCTCTCTCTCTCTCTCTCTCTCTCTCTCTTTTGCAATTTGGTGCATGAATTAAGTGGTTATTAGTTTCTTATTCTTAAACTTATTTGGTATGTTTCTTAATGATTAAGAACAACTTATATATAAGTGAAGATTAACATCTTTTGTCGTTTACTCTTGCTTGGTGGATACTTCTAGAGAAGTTCCACTTTGAGTTGTTTGTTATCTTCATCAACTTCCAATCTCCTGAAAGGAATCAAAGTCTTCAAATGTTGTAACTCTTTTTCTTTCTATGGTTGATTTAATCTTTGATGGTTAAAATGGTTTTAAGTTTATTCTAATGACAAAGCTTCCATTACCGTTTTTAGTTTTTTTTGGGAGAACAATATTGAATAAAACCCAACATATATATATATATATATATATATATATATATATATATATATATAAGGATTTAAGATGAAATATGCTACCACCACATTCCAATAGAGCAACATAAAAACCCTCCAGACTCGACCCAACATGCAACCATTTTTTTTAAAAGTTTAAAGAGCTTTTATTTTAATTATGGTTACATTTCTTTCAACCACCACTTATTTAATATATATTCACATCGGAAAATGATCCAAAATGATCTTTGTGAATACAATTCACTCTTACCTTACACCTACCTACCACAACTTTTATATACACAAACAACTCTTACCTAACACCCACCTATCACAACTATTTATGAATACAAACAGCTTTCGTCTAACATCCACCTACCATAATTATTTATAAATACAAACAACTCTTACCTAACACCCACCTATCACGACTCTTTATGAATACAAACAATTATTACTTAAAATCCACCTACCACAATTTTCTATAAAAATATCGAACTCTTATGTAACACCTTATCAAACCACTATATAAAGATGTGAAGATCATAACATTCTTCACAACAAAGCTAATTAATCATAATGCTCAAACTTACTCCAAAAATATTTTCCAACCGGTTTAAAATTGCTCATAAATTTAGATATCCTATAACCTCCGATGATCAGTTTGGGCCCTTGTCCATTCCTAATGTGATGAAGAAAGATGTATTAGTCAAAGAATCAAAGGTTAACAAGGTGAGTGAGTTTTTAAGAAAGAAAGTGTATGCTATAAGAAATTGAAGCCAAGAATTAATGGATAACGCAAACAAAAAAAAATCAAATACACTACATGGTTGAACATAGACGCCAAGTACAAGGATAAGCATCAACACAAGGATCTAATGAGCGTAGTGATTTACGAAAATATGAATAAAAGACAAGCATGGATTAATAGGAAAAAAGAAAAATTATCATACAATTCTACAATCCCTTTAAAAGAAACTGATTATTAGTATTTCTTTATGTACTAATCGAATGTAAAGCTCATTTCCATTAATGAAATTTAAACATGCTTTTAAGTTTTCTTGGGTTTTAGATTAGGGTGTCATCATACCTTGGTTTTCATTTTGAAGATAGATGGATTATGTGGATTGTGGGAGCCTAAAAGAAGATGAAAAACCACAAGTTGTGATGAAAACACACACACACACACACCGCTTTGGCTAGTCTATGGCTGGTTTTGAGTTTTGACCTTTTAGAACTACAATTTTAGAAATTCATTTGAGCTCAAATACATTTTAACTACAATTCCAAAATATTTCTAAACAAAAAAGATCATGCCCTCAATTCCTTTTTGTAGAATCAAATTTATGTATAGAATAACCATAACCAAACATAACATTTGGACTTAATATAAGGCTACATACAACAGGAAACATATGATAGAAAAAAGTGAAAATAACAATAATGAAAATTTTGTGTCATTAACATACATAAAATGAACATCAAAAAGCTTTGTTGATGATCTTTAGTTATGAGAATTTCTTTTTTCCTTCAAGAGAGATCTCATCTCCCCCAGCTTCAATGCTTAAGCACCTCCCTACATGATTTCTATAATTAATAATTTAATATATAACTTTTAACAATTTTACTTTAACTTTAAAAAGGCTAAAATCTTACCTCATATCACTTATAATGATGCATAAGAAGCCTTGTATGCAAGGTGTGAACAATAATCAGTTGGCAAATCACCTTCTTCAACATTTTCTCAAGCATTACATTACATGTTGGAAATTGTAATTCTTGAAAATTTTCTGTATACAACAATTTGAAGATAAATACAAGTAAACAACTACATAAATAATTACACACTAAATAAAACATGAAACATTCACAATATTAAAAAGATACAAAAGTTAAAAAAAAAAAAAAAAAAAAAAAAAAAAAAAAAAAAAAAAAAAGCATACTTGCAGCCTGAAGAATAACACACATTGTAACTTCAATAAGCCGGCACCTCCATGTGTTCAAGGTTCAGGGTTTAGGGTTTAGGGTTTAGGGTTTAGGGTTTCGAGTTTAGGGTTTAGGGTACTTCATTATAAAATCATTGGCCTTGATCAATTCTCAACCACTTTTGATAAACACCATAAGCCCCATCAAGATTCCCAATCTTGAAATACTTTTTAATAAGTATTTGAAAAGGGAAATGATCAATCACTAAATGATTACACTTTTTTAGCATATGAAAACTAAAAATTCTCTCTGCATCTTCGATTTTACCTCTCATACAAAACCCTTTTATCAATTTTGTATATGTAATAACATCCGGTTCATACCCTCTTTCCAACATATCATCATGAATTTGCTCAGCAGAATAAAGATGTCCAAATTCCGATTCTGCCCCTACCAACAAATTATAAGTCACTATATCAGGCAAAGGGCCACATGAAATCATCTCCTTCATCACCAAATGAGCCTTGGATATTTCTCTACGTTTTATAAACATGTGAATCAAAGCATTATAAGTAAACACATTAGGCAAAACACCATATTCCATCATTTGATTCATTATATGTAATGTGTTTTGCTTATCTCCATGTCTACCATATCCACCAATGACAAGGTTCCATGTCAGCAGTGGAGGAATCATTGATTTTTCCAACATGGAATTAAGTAACTCGTGAGCTGTTACCACGTTTTCAACTCTACATAACCCTTGAATTAGTATTTTGTATGTGATTTTATCTGGAGTAACACCCATTTTTGACATGACTTTGTAGAGATAAACAGCTTCATCGATTCTTTTCATCTTACAAAGTGTGTTTATAAGAGTGTTGTAGGTGAAATTATCTGGAAGAAAACCGATTTTTAGCATTTGGTTTATGTATTTATATGCAAGAATCAAATCATATCTCAAACTCAAACAAGATCCATGGATGACAACATTATATGCAACAACATCCACTTCTTTACTGAAAATCTCTTTCCAAAGTGTAAAAGCAAGAGACGTATCTCCTTTCTTGAAAGAACTATCCATGAGAATTGTTGAGGCTATAAGTGTCTTTTCACTATATTCATCTGTTAATTCCAGAAGAAGTGCCCTAGCTTCTTCTAACTTCTCTTTCTTGCAATGTGCATGTACTAGAATAGTGTAAGTGATTACATTTGGTTTTACTTTCCCATAGTTCATAGCTGATATAAGATCTAGAGCTTTATCTGTATCACCAAAAGCACAATAACCCTTCATTAAAGTGTTGTAGGTAGCAACATTAGGAGATGGGCCCCACAAACTCATCTGAGTTACAAGCCATTCTGCTTTCTCAAATGCATTGACTTTACAGAATCCATTAATGAGGTAGTTATGTGTAACTACATCGGGAAAAATACCTTGATGTATCATTTTGCTTCTTAGCTTCAATGCTACTCCTAATCTACCCTCTAAGCTTAAACTCCTAATTGTGTCTATATGTTGATTGTATCCTGCTTTTAATTTGTAGTTGTAATGGCCTATATGTGCCCATGACATGCTTTCCCTGAAAATTATATCAATGTTAACACAATGAAGGATTTGGATAGCTTGTGAAGTTACATAGTAAGAAAAAGTAGCTAATCTGACCTCATATGTTTCAACCTCTCTAAACTACACTTAAGAATGGCATCCAACACATTGAAGACCACTTCAGGATCACCACCACCACCCCCGGAATCTTTATCAGGTGCTGAAAAATCTTGTGTTTTCCGTTGATGTTTACTTCCAATTGCTTCAAGAAGATCTTGAAAAGCAAATGGGAATAGTTCATTGTTCCTGGAAGTCCTACACATGCGTTTACTTTGGCACTTTAGATTGATTCACATCAATTATAGAACACTAACAAGCCTAATGCTTTGAAAATGAAGGTCAAAATGTATGAATACAAGTACTGTGAGATAGATTGATGATGCAAACATGTTTTATGGCAGGTTATGAATGAACAAGGTGTCAAAGATGAAAATGTGCTAGAGAGTGAAAGAAAAATCCAAATTTGAATCTTTTGTAAGTGAATCTGTACATTTCAAATGCATAACTTCGAATATTTGTAGCAATTGTAACACCTATACTACTATACTGATAGCGTTTGTAGGATTCAAGGTACAAATGTTTATAGGTTTCTTCAGAATCCATGACTTTAGACGATAAAAAGTGAACTTGATTGACATCGAAATCATACATAGTAGCTCTTTGGAAAACCAATAGAGGCACTTAAGTTGCGTCAGTTACCTCGTATCAGTCAGATATGCGCTAGAGCGTGTGTAGCATAAAACGTCTATAAAGATCTGAGAAATGCGATCCTTGATAAAGCCTAGGGTTTGGAAACTGTTGTTGAACAGCCGATGAAATAGAAGATGCGGATCTTCAGTGGCAATCAATAGCTGTTTTTTGTCCAAAATTATATACACGTAAATATATATGAATCAAACATAGTGAAACAAACGAAATTAAAATTAGAAGCTAAAGAATAGAGATTGTGTATAGAAATCAGGTGACAGTTTGGGAACCTACGCTGGTCATCTTCAGGGTTTCCACGTACACTGAAATGGTGATGCTTGTGGTTTTCCGGCGAACGGAATGCGGCAGTCCGTTGACGACGGCGGGTGCCAAAGAGATGGAGAGAGACGTCAATTGAGGTTAGGGATCGTTTTTGAAATATTGCCATGGTAACTTGCTCCTTTTTCGATTCGATTTAGGTGGCTTTTCTTTTTTCTTTTTTTTTTTTTACTTAGAAAATGAAAATATAAAAACTATATTGATTGTAAGTTGTATCAGTCTTTTGTATTTTTTATTTAATTAAATATCAAAAACCAATAATTATTTATAGACAAAATTGCAAAAATGGTCCCTGTGGTTTGCATTTTTTCAGGAAAAAAGTCCAAACCACGAGTTTTTTGGTTTTGTGGTCCTTTTGGACTAGTTTGTTTGTGAGAATGGTCCCTATACTTAACACCCGTTAAATTCCATCCGTTAACCCCCTCATGTGCCTTGCACGTGAGGGTATTTCTGTCCTTTTACTTATAGGGACCATTTTTGCATATGGAAAAATAAAACATCCTTTATATATCGTTTTCTTTTCTTTTCCCAGCTTCTTCCCCAACAAATCTTCTTCCCCAACGTTCTTAACTGTTCTTCCCCAACGACTATTATCTTCCATTTCTCCTTTCCTGACTTGCAATCGAACAATGGTGGTTTGTTTTTGTGGAAAGCTTGCTTTGGTGAAAACGTCTTGGACACCACTGAATCCCGGCAGGAGGTTTTATGCTTGCCCTACTAAGGATTCTGTTTGTGGGTTTATCGGGTGGGTTGACCCACCTATTTGTGCTAGGAGTAAAACCATCATACCTGGTCTTCTAAGAAACATAAATACATTGGAGGAAAGATGTAATGGGCTGGTAAGAAGTATCAACATGTTACAGGAACAGTGCAATGGACTTTTGAGCAGGAACAACATGTTGGAGGCAAGGTGTGATGCATTGAAGGATGAAGGTTTCAAGCTGAAGATGTATTTATGTGCAAGTTGGTTTATGTTTGTGATTGTTATCTTTAGTACTTGGTCTATGTAAGGGATAGGGTTAGGCAAATGTGGGGATTTTTGTTGATCAAGTGATGCAGGGTAAAAATGGTATAATTTTGTTGTAATTTGACTTCATCATGTTTGTAATGAATTCCAAAATGTGTATCAGTTGTGTTCAAAATGTGTATCAGTTGTCAGATATAAGCACATAAATAGAACCAAAATGTAACAAAAGTACATTACCAAAATACATGTCATAAATTTACCAAAATGAACATTCCATTAACCACATGAGTGGAACCAAAAACCATTACCAAGTTAAGCATACAAGTGTCTGTGCACCATACATAACCACATCATCAAACCATAACTAAAGTTTTCAAAAACAAACAGTTTTTAACAACAAGAAACTAAATAGTCATTGCACCACAACAAATAACCACAATCACTTCTTAGATTGATTCCCTCCTTGCCCTTTACAGGTCCTAGAGTTGTGTCCTTTATTCTTGCATTTGCTACAAGTAACACTAACATGTTTCCTTGATAGCTTCTGCACTCCATCATTTCTTGGCCCTTGGGAATTTTCTCCTTGCATCTCATTGACTCCATCACCTGCACTTGCCTTCTGCCTTTTGCTTAACCTTTCACCCTCACTTTGTCTTCTTTTTTTCTTAGGCCTTCCCACCTGAGTGTGATGTGGAGGAGGGATTAGCTTTGTTGGACAATTACTTTTAGGCCACATGGGTCTCCCTTTAATTGGTTCCACCTTAAATGAATAAGCTTTTTGCCATGTCTCTAGCCAATACACCTTGTGTACCCACTTGTAAATGTCAAGCTCAGCCTCAGGGTCTTTGCTCATTTCATTCAGAGTTGCAATTGCATGCCTGCAAGGTATTCCCATTAATTCCCACTTTCTGCAAGTACAGGTTTGGTTCCTAACATCCACCACATGTTGATCTTGCAATGCTGCAGTGACTTGATACTTGTTTGCCCCATTCCACCTAGCAATATATTGTGAAGCACTTTTTTCCTTGCATCTAGGATGTCTGTTGCTGTAGGTGTTAGTGGACCTTTAGCCTTCTTCATTGCCTTCATGACATTGCATATCCTCTTCATTAGATACTCCCTAATGAACTCTAAACATGAAATTACAGGTTTGTCCCTGCCTTTCTCTATCTTCCCATTAAACACTTCACACATGTTTGAAATCAACACATCAGAAACAGCTCTTCCTGCACATTACAATAACATACAATTAATGCTGATAAATAACTGAAACACATAATCTTTACCATATGCAAACATATACAATTACCTGAGAAATGACTCCTTGCCCAATGTACAGGAGGAATTTGCTTCAACCATTGACATGCCTCCTTATCATACTCACTAAACTCTTTCATCAAATGTTCAAACTCAGGAATGGTGGTTGCTGATGCACACCTCCATAAATGGTCCCTGTACTCAGTTTGCCCCCACTTCTTTCTCATATTGTCATGAATATGTCTAATACAATACCTATGCTCAGCATTGGGAAACAATTGATCAACTGCAATTTGTAATCCCTACATGACTCAACATACAATAATTAGAATTAATTTCTTGGTAAAAAAACACAATCTAAATGATCAATTGATGAGTTTTAATTTACCTTTTGCCTGTCACTTATGAAAGTATAGTTTGAGTTGCTCCCAAGCTCCAAGTCATCCCCAAGGTTTTCTAAAAACCACTTCCAGCTAGCTGTGTTTTCAGACTCAACAATTGCATAGGCTAAGGGATAAATTCCATTGTTGGAATCTAGACCAACTGCTGTAAGAACCTGACCAGGGAATGGGCCTTTCATGAAGGCACCATCCAAACCTACTAAGTCTCTAAGACATGCTTTGAAACCTTTTTTCAGTGGACCCAAGCATACATAAATCCTTCTAAACTGCCTTGTTGGGGATGCAGGGTTGCCATTAGGACACACATCTATTTTGACTGTTGTGTCTGGGTTTGTAGCTTGAAGTTCAAGAGCATAGTCCCTCAACAACTCAAACTGTTTTGTGTAGTCCCCAGTTACATGCTTTCTTGCCATATCTTTTGCCCTAAACACCTTATCCATTGAAATACCCACCTGGTAGGTCTTTTGAAAGTGATCTTGTATGGCTCTCAAAGGAATCTTCGGATCTGCCTCAACTTGATCTATGATTTTCTTGCAGATTAAAGAAGCAGTACAAGCTCTGAGTTTTCTTGTTTGTAAGCATGTATGAGTTTGGTTTAAGGTCCTTATAAACCAATCAGATTCGGGGTTTGACCTAGATGCATGTATATACCAACCACATGTTTCTTTTTGTGTCTTTACTTCTTTGCCCTTGCTTTTTGAAGTGGTAGGTTTAGTCCCCACTTGACCTTTATTGATGACAGGTACAACTCCTCTGCACTGTGCCCTAAGCCTTTGACTGTCATTTTTTTTAAAGAATAGATTCCTTCTTGTTTCTAGTGCGTGCACATCAATTAACTCCTTTAATTCTTTTTTACTTTTAAACTTTTGCCCCACTGAGAATGACTGTATATGTACTGACCCAAAGTTGCACCTTTTTTCTTTTCCCAAATTTCTTATGAGAGCTCTTCTTTCTCTGTCTTGGTCTGATCCTTCATCCAATGATTCGAACTCCTCATTGTTGATCACTTCCATATCTTCAGGTTCATGACCATCATTAATACATGCTCCTTCAACATCACTTTCAACATTTACAAAGAAGTCTGCCATGTCCACATCAACATCTTCTATATTGTTCTCCTCATCCATTATGTCATCCACTTTATCTTCATTTTCTGATTGTTTCCCATCATGATCATCACCTTCATCCTTTTCATACTCTTCATCACTCTCTTCAGATTCAACATCCCCTTCATACTCTTCAACATACTCATCACTTCCATTTAAATTTTCCATAAGGTTGTCAAAAAGTTCATTATATTGTTCATCATCATTAATGGGTGGGGTGTTGTAGCATCCATCAATCATCTCATCCTCATTAGTGTTTTCCTTCTCTTTTAAATCATCAATATCCTCTAAATTAAGCCTCTTGCTACAAGAACCTTCCTCTCTTTTTGAATTCCCAACTCTACCCCTTCTATACTCTGGAGAGAATGCATCAGTTTTACTCCCAAAAAGAATCAAAGACATGTACTCACCAATTGGTTCATCATTGACATGGTTCATATTTCTCAATGGAGATTCTACATGAACTTCAGCCTCATATTTAGCCCCTTGATCATCATTTTCTGGTAATTCCTCAATGACAACTTTACCCTTTGCATTTGGAGACATGAAGTATGTGAGTAGATTTGTCTTCCCATGTTCTGTGTACACTTCAATCAACTTGTTATTTTGAATAAATTTAGAAAGATTGATAACATCCTGATCATTCCCTAAAGCTCTAAGACCAAATTGAAAGTCACCATTGGGTATCCTGAAATGGTAGTATATCACTGGGGATTCAACACTCAATTCAATCATCCGTGGGTCTGGGTAACCTAGGTCAAGCATTATGGCATCAAGTTCATGTACAGAAAACTCATCTATGTCCACATAATCAACATAACGCACTTCACCTCCAGTATACTTTATGTCAGGTAACTTAGTAAACTTCCCACCATGATGAAGCTTAATACTAAACCATGTGGGTGCACCCGCTACAAGTCAAAATTGTACATGATAACAAAGTCAAAATTTGGCGGATTTTAGTATAAATCAAGGGTAAAATGAAAAATAGGAATGTTTAAGAAAACAGAGCAACTTACCATATAAGGATGATACGTCGACAACTTCATTTTTTGGTCTGATCTGCCACATTACGTACACCATTTCGACTTTAAAGTATGACCTTGTCTCCTTTTGCTTCGATTAGGTTCTTTCGATAACGACTTTTTTTTTGCAGGTTTAATGGAGCAGAAGGAAGAAGGAGGGAGGTGGGGAGTTGACGGGTGTTTGGGATTGTAAATGAGGGATAAAAGGTAGAAGGAAGTGTTGTCCCTATAAGTAAAAGGACAGAAATACCCTCACGTGCAAGGCACATGAGGGGGTTAACGGATTTCTTTCTTTTAACGGGTGTTAAGTATAGGGACCATTCTCACAAACAAACCAGTCCACAAGGACCAAAAAAACCAAAAAACTCGTGGTTTGGACTTTTTTCCTGAAAAAATGCAAACCACAGGGACCATTTTTGCAATTTTGTCTTATTTATATTTTGGCATTAAATATAATGATTTTTTTCCAATATTATCAAAATATAAAGATTTGTTTAAAACATATATTTTTAATATTATATTATTATTTTAATATATATTCTGTTTAACGGTTCGTATTATTTTAATGCTATAAAAAATCTTAAATTTAGCATCAACTTTGAAAATTACCCTAACATTTATTTTTATTACTCCTTTGTTTTTTATTTTCAAAAAAAAATCATATGTAATATATTTTTTCTATCTAACGGATTATATTATCTTATATTAATTTTATGATGTTTTTTTATCTAACAAAGAATATCTATTATGAAAAAATATTTTTTCTTCTAAAAATTCATTGTTTCTATTATATTTTTGTCTAACAGTATTATCTTACATTAATCGTAGGCCTAATTGTGATGTCCTAAATTTTATAAACCACATTTTTCATTTTAAAAACATAAGTAAAACATTTAAAATTGTTTTCCATAAAAGACCAAGGTAACAAAGTGTTTTAAAATCCTCAAACCATATTGTAAATATATATCAAAATCATCATAAAACAACGAATGTCTAAATCATGAAATCAACAACGATGTCTAAATCATGAAATCAACAACGATGAACGTGCAGTACATTTAGGCTGGACACGTTTCTATGACAGCAGAACTACTTGAAAACACTTAATCATAAATTGTAAGCATAAAGTTTAGTGGGTTCATCAAAATACCATATATCATAATACAAATACAATGCATACGAAATAAGAATTATGAACATGAATAATTCATGGATAAGTAATATGAAGACCTTATTGAACATTACTGGAAAGATTCTTATCTTTCGAATGGTGACATCAAAAGGGAAAGCATCGAGAAAAGCATGTAAATTTTTGCCTATTGTCTCAACAAAGTGCCAATCAATTTTTCAAATGAGGGATATCCTTTAAATAATGATGAAATGAATGGAGATTATAAAGTCAAAGAAGAGTCAAAAGATGAGGACACAAAAAGCATTGTAGATAGTAGAAAGAATTTAATAGAGCTTAAGATGCTTATGGAAGAGGAAATTCGAAGAAAGAGCCATGAACCAGTTTCGCAATGTGACAATCTTATATCCGCGCCATGATTAGACGAACCCTTATAATATGGAAACGAGGTAAATCCTGACTCGTGGTGCAAGCTCTCGATTGCTTGTGACACGATCTATGTTCCTACAAATCTATGTTTAATTTTTCAACCATAAAAAATTCTAAAAATTCCAAACTAGACACTCAATTACAAAATCTAAATCCTAAGGAAATCCATGGAACAGATGGATCTAAGAAGGTTTCTAAAAGTGGGAGTAATCAAGAACATGAGTCGGAGGAGATAAAGTTAGAAAAAGAGGAGAAGTAGGAGACCGTAAATAAAACAAAGGTTAAAAAAAGTAGTAAAAGGAAAAAAGAGCAAAAAGGAAGATTAATAGGAAGCTGGAGTGAAGAAATTGCAAGGAATACTTACAAGAAAAGAGTCAAAAATATAAGAGTGTTGGGGTGCAAAGCTATCCAAGTGGTGATGTATTGAAGGTTTCGCCCTTTTTATGATATGTGTGGGAAATAAGCATCGTGACTTATTGTAGTGTCACACTGTGACATCCCCAATTTCTCGGCCAGAAAAGACCGATTTGTTTATGCTTTGTTTTATAAATCAGAGTAATCGTTTAAAGAAAACGGTTGCGGAATTTGTTCCCAAAACAAAATATGATAAAAACTTATCAAAACATCTCTCAAAGAGAATGTATTTTCATTAAATAATAAAACCTCGGGATGTCATGTTCCGATACAGACACATAAGCATAAACAGAACATACATTCATTTACTCTAGTGATTTACATCTCCTTTAATCTCTCAGTGCAAAGCAGCTTCGTATCGATACCTGTGATACAATTAAACTGAGTGGGTCAGACTTGGGAGCCTGGTGAGCATATAGGGGTTTCAACCCACAATAATATAATTATTATATTTAATTATCAAACAATCAACCCAATTACCCATCCCCATTATCTTCTTTTAATCTTCCCTAAAGATATTATCCTAAGGGTCATCTCCTACATCGCATTTACCTCTCATCTCCTTACATCACATTTCCTTGTATGTTTGTTCCTAAGGACTTTTTCCTAAGGATCATCACATGAATACGTAGTCACAACATCGCCTGGACTAGTAAGTCATAATAAGGGTTAGATTATCATCGCATGAATACGTAGCCACAACATCGCTTGGACTTGTAATTCATAGAAAGGGTTAGTCTATCATCGCATGAATACGTAGCCACAACATCGCCTGGACTCGTAATTCATAGTAAGGGTTAGAGTATCATTGCATGAATACGTAGCTACAAAATCGCCTGGACTCGTAATTCATCACCTACAGGTTATGAGCCTGCTGGTGTTTCCACGGGGTCATCTAGAATCGTCCGTGGTCGCCATCTATACTCTAGTAGATGAATACATCGCCAAATTGCCACATCGTCGGTCAAGGTTATGGTATCTCCTCTCATTTCACATCACCTATTTATCATCACCTATCTATCATCACCTTTCTATCATCACGTATTTCTCATCACCTAATTATCATTACCTATTTCTCATCACCTAATTATCATCACACATCATCTGATTCATCTACCCATGTTCTACCCAACATATTTGTAGATATAAAATACATATAGATATTAACTCATTTAATACCTATATAAAATATCCATTCCACACTCATCTCAAATAAACAACAATATATAAACACATAGCACGTATTTCATAGCAAATACTTAATATATATATATATATATATATATATATATATATATATATATGTTAGAAGAAAGTGATCACATACTCATACGGATAAGCAACAATATATATATATACACATATCACGTATTTTATAAAATACTTCATATCTATGTGTAAGATGAAAGTGACTATACACTCACATATATAAACAACAATATATATAATACATTCAAACAATACTTGTATTATTATCGTGTTTATGAAAGGGACTATACACTCACTTGATCAGAAGATGATTGGATAGCACTACGACTCTTCAAGTAGATATTCTTCGGTGAAACCGGGATCACTTGACACACCCAGTTTCTCGCGGGCAGAGCTTCGGCTCGGAAACTCTTTTCTTCTCGGGATCTTCGGGCTTTGGGAATTGCTTCGGGTCTCGGGGTTGATACCGGGGCTTCGTGGGTACTTCTTTGCATGTAAATCGAGGTAATATGGGAGAGAGATGAGAGAATGAGCAACCATACCGGCTGGCCCTTCAAATCTATTTATAGGGCAAAACTCGCCCTTGCCACGTCGTAGAACCTTTTACCACGTCGTGGGCTTGGTCGTCACTGCATGCTTCATTGAAAGCTGCATCTGGGGGACTCCCGGAGGTGTCATGAGACTTGCCACGTCGTGGCACGGCTTGCCACGTCGTGGTCACTGACAGTATTGGGGTTTTGCGCCCCGAACTTCAGAAATTCATAACTTTCGCATACGAACTCCGTTTTCGATGTTCTTTATATCGACGCGAAGGTGAGATTATGCTCTACAACTCTTGTTTAGACTCCATTGGATAATTTTGACTTTATTTTTAATATATTATAAGTATATTACTTATATATTATCTTTAGTAGGACGGGACAGGAAAACTTCGTTCGAAATTCATAACTCCTTCATTTGAACTCCGTTTTCGTCTGTCTTTTTATCATTGGACTACTATCGAAGACATCTTCAACTCTCGTTTAGATCACTAAGGATAGATATATATCTACCTTAAATTCACTATTTACGTCGCGTTGGGTCGCACTGGGTCATGCCGGTTCTATCGCGAAACTTCGACAGGTCATAACTTCTTCGTTATAACTCGGATTTTGGCGTTCTTTATATGCACGGAAACCTTGTGACATATAATAAAACTTGGTTAAGATTAATCCTTTTAAATAATCTTCCATCAAAAAGTCATTTTTGATGCTTATTGTCTCTAAATTGACTATCTTGGATCTACGGGCGTTACAATTATCTCCCCCTTAGGATGATTACGTCCCAGAATCATCAACGAAATAGGGCTCACATAATGATTCCACACATTATCTCTTCATCCTAGGTAATAACCGTAACTTCTATGTTTCCTCGATAGAGTATTTAACTCTATGGCTTTCTTGACCGCAGACGATGCCCAATCTTGCATCTGCTTATCGTACTATGTTGTACTTTCAATCATAACTTTCAAGTTACAAAATAAATCCTTATTAAGGACTCCTTATTCTTCTTAGGATAAGTACTTTCATTCATCTATTGCAATAGATCGATGGGTCATGTTCTAATGACCTCTCATCGTATGATGCAACGCTTAGACTCAAGTCTCTTAGAGTCAAATTCCAAAATGCAATATACCTCCCTTCATATTCTAACGTGATATAATCACATTTTTTTTACATGTAGAATTTCTAGCAACAAGCTTCCTTAACAACGAGTGCGATGCTATCGATCACATTGATTTCAATCTTTTGACTTAGGTCAAATGTTACATTGAACTTGGTTCCATGAACCACCTAATAAACTCCTCGTAGTCGGACTCAATTTGATATGACCACTAGGGTCGGAATAACAACCATCTTACTAGTCACTACCGAAACAAGGGTAATGACACACTTGAACAAAACGGAATCAGTTACTAGCTTCTTGGTAACCTTGTGACTTTCCCTAATCCAAGTGTGAGTCCTATACTTCCGGTAGTATATGC